AAAAATGAGTTTTGTAACTTTTGGATGCTTTTACATTAGATGAAATAGTGGAACATATATACGGTTTTCTTAAATTGAAGAATTAATCTGCTAGTATGCAATACTTTAAACTATTATATCTTTGAGATTAATGTGATAACTTTTTTTTTTAAAAAAATGTGTATACATTAAGTGGTGCATTGGTAATCATTTGTTGCTGGGATTTTTTATATGCTTATTTCAGCTATATTGAGTTGATATATAAATATAATAAAAGTAATTTTGAGTATTAAAGTCACAAGGATGGATGTTGTTATTTTACTATCATTATATTGAAAAACTTCTTAAGAAGTTTGACATTTCAATGTTAAAATGTGAATTTCCCTTATGGCTTTGATATAAATAAATAAATAAAATGTGAGTGTGTTACAATTAAATGTGTGTGACATTTGATAATTTTAAAATGCTGAAATTGAAGATTGAACCAATATATGAAATCCAAATGTGATGGTTGGGATACCTTAAGTTATTGAGATATTCGAGAGGTATCATTAATTATGGTTCAGATTATCCGTTGTCATATATTGATACAACGATGATATGTTTAATTGAGAAATATCCGTTGTACTATAAAGGTACAACGATGTTATATATGAGAATTATCCATTGCACTATAATGATACAATGATGATATATATTTCATTGAGAATTATCCGTTAGGATATAACATAATAACATATTAGTGAAATTATCCGATGAACACAAGTGTCACATCGATGTATATTTTGTTGAGAGTTATCTGTTGTATTGCCGGGATACAACGACGTAATATGAGTCGACTCACATGAGATAAAATAGTGGATATCCATTCACCCTTAAAAGTGGTGAAATGATGTTTGAGAATGGAATTGTTCCATTAATTTTGTGAAGTTAAAAGAAATTAGCTACTCCTTTTGATAGAATCCCTAGGACGTTAAATGATAAATTTAAACATCGAAGGAAATGGACTAATGTCACTTTGATAACAAATAGGGATAGGAACCAAACTTGTGTGATTGGAGATCCCATGAAGCAAGTTCATATGGGTAATAACAAGTCTTCTATTTGTTCTGCTAGCCTTGTAAAATGTCCATTTCTATGATGTGGAAGGCTAGACTGCATCTCTTTGTGAGGTTGAGTTAAAACTCTTAATGACTGTCATAGCCCTTACGGGTGGTGTGTTAAGTGCGGGACACACTTGATGAAGTCACCTATATGAGTGTGAGGTGGGGCCGCCTCCATGAAGCATTGACAACGCTTCTAGAGCACTCAAGAAAACCAAGCACGCGCACGGCCTAGAGGCGCACAACGGCGTTAACGACGAGAAAGGTGGGGGGTGAAAAATGATCCCCTAAGACACTGACTTACCATAGTAGATTATTGGTTCATAGAAACTATACGTTTCACCAATAAACTCGGTATTTAACGACTTAGGCGTCTAGGTCTGGTTCAAGTCTACGGACACCACATTGAAAAACCTCACCCCATATTTGAACCCAGTAAGGAATTACTATTTTCAAATACATAAAAAGTATTCATTTGAAATATGTGGGGGATTGTTGGAAATATTGGATTATTTCAAATGAATAAGTTGTTAATTATTTTTGTGGGAAATTTATCATGACTCATAAGACCATTTTACCCCTACACTTAAAGTTACTACGTATTATTATTTGACATTAAACCATGGAGATGTTAATTGTTTTCTAACGTTGGGCACTAACGATAGTTAATGCAGTAACGTTTTGTATGGATATAATGATATTTACTCTTTTGTTTTTATACTATTTAATTCTTTTTTTTTTTGACCAATATACTATTTAATTCTTACTTTAATCACATTAAAGTTTATGATGCTTCATATACCTCATGTCTGATTTCAATTGAGTGTGCTTATATATACATAACGTTGCAACCGGCCGAGAGTAGATAGAGAGATTAGAAAGCAATAATAAAAGACTTGGCATGAAATTAGTGGATTATTGGAGGGAGATTAAAGTTGTTACAAGACTCAAGGAGTAACAAAGTGCTTCTTAATGTGCTACCCTAAAATCATACTTTTATTATTGGGTTCATATACTAACTTTCTTCTCGTTAGTTCTGGTACCAGTTTTAGAACCGAAGGGCTCGTTATATCTTGGGGGAAATTTCCGTACGCCGGAAATAATTCCTTAGGACAGCGTCTGACGCGTCTCGATCCACTAATATATTTTTAGTTCGTTTTAGCGATTATTTTGCAGATCAATTCTCGGAGCTAGATAGTCAAAGAGGTCAGCCTAAGGGCAACACGGTCAACACGTACGTTGATTTTCGAGGGATAGAGCCAACAGTTTTATCTCCACTGGAAGTAGAGCTGATTGGCATTAGAGAGGCGTTGAGCTGGATGAAAGAAAGAAGTTGGGATCGTGTTGAGGTGGAGTCAGACTCTTCGGGGGCAGTGGCGGAGGTTCTTCAGGAGTCGAGTATCTCTTTAGCAGGGATTATTGGTGGCGATATTCGAGAGATAAGTTTGGGTTTTACCGATATCTCTTTTACTCATATAAGACGGTTAGCGAATAGAACGGCTCACGAGTTAGCTAAAGCCGCTTGTTCTATGTGTGACTGTATTTGTTGGGATGATTTACCTCCTTCTTTCATTATACATGTACTGAACACTGATTCTATGAATGAAAATTAACTGTTTCTTCTTCAAAAAAAAACAAAAGGGGATCCGCACAATCCTCCATTCGTTCTACAAAACTTAAGAAAAGTTTAACATGCACGTAAAATAATAAAGAAAAAAAATTATGTGACTGTTTGACAACACCATTTTCGGCTTATCAGCTAACTCTTTCACTAAACACATAACTTTTGCTTTCACGCGATGAATTGTGTAATAACCAATAAGCAAAAAAATTAAGGTTGGAGTTACTTTTTTTTCGGCTGTATTGGCTGAAGTTACTATAGATGATCATTTTAGCTATTTTTACATGTAATATTTTCTTTATTTTATTAAGAAAATATATTTTAAATTTTTTTTCTTAAATCAGCAGAATAAGCCAATGCAGCCACTTCAGCCAGAACATCATAAATATCTATAGAATCAGTCAAAACAGTCGATTTTCGTGATGTCAAACGAGTTCTATGTGTTTGAGATTTGTAATAAGGGGAAAGATTTATTTTTAATCACCTATTTATTTATTACTTTAAATACAAATGAAAAAGCTTTTAGGAATGATTAAGGAAATTTGGGGAAATGTTGTGGGAGAGAGGGAGTACATTTATGTGCTACCAAATTGAACGATCAAGTATGAACACACCAATCAACACACATGCCTTTAGGATGTTCTTTCAAGTTCACATTAAGATGAACTGAATTGAAAAAGAAAAACGTGAGATCATACTCAACTTGATCTTGCTATATCACTACATGAAGTGAAGCCATGCATATGAATAACGAAACATGATGAAGAAAAAATTTAACCAATGATTGAACAATTGACAACAAGACCGGTGAAAGAACAAATAAATAATTGTATAAATGAATGATGGTGATAAAGTGTTAAAACATGAACTATAATCTTGTATAATGAAATGAAACATATTTCCAATTGGGTTGCTTTAAGATGTTTTCTTTTGAACCGTTTTCAGTCCCAGACCAGACCAGACCAGATCAGACCAGACTAGACCAGACTTCCGTAGTTATAAAATACACAGAGACCAGACGTTTACCAGACCAGACCAGACCAGTTCAGACCAGACCAGACCAGTTCAGACCAGACCAGACCAGACCCGTTCAGTCCAGACCAGACTAGACCAGTTCAGACCAGATCAGACCAGATCAGACCAGACCAGACCAGACCAGCAAATTTCAGTCCAAAAGAAAACATCCTAAGTCCCAAACAAGATCGGGTCTATTTAAAAATAAATCAGATAATGTCAAGTCATACTAGATTTAGATAATACTCCCTTTATATTGTCTCATTATACCTTTTCGGGTAGTACTACATGAAGCAGAGATCAGAAGCAGAAGTTGGAGTGTTTGTGTGAAAGTACAGAAACACTTCTTGTGTTCTAATTTGCTCCTATAAACAGTTTTTTCAAAAGTTGCGGGAGACCAGTTTCTAAAAATTGATTTTGATTTTGCTTCTGTTTTAAAACAGAAGCAGAATAAGTTCTAAACGCCCGCATAGTAATACAAACATTTTAAGCAACCTGGCCAGTTTAATTTAATGTAGATTTATAAAGACTGGATCAAAGATTGTAGTCCAAGAAAAAAACATCTCATATACAACCAACAGCCACATTACGAATCCGTTTGGTAGAACGAAAATCGGCTGACTTGGCTGAATCTAGTGAAATTTATGAAATTCTGGTTGAAGTGACTACATTGGTTGATTCTACTGATTTAAGAAAAAAAAATTTATTATTAAAATAAAGAAAAAATTATATGTAAAAATAGCTAAAATTACCATCTACAGTAATTTCAGCCACTACAGTCAGAAAAGTAACTTCAACCTTACTTTTTCTGCTTATTACACAATTCAGCGCGTGAAAGTAAATATTACGTGTTTGGTCAAAAAGTTGACCGATAAGCCTGATAAGTCGAAAAATAGTGGTTCCAAACGGCCTCTACAAAGGCGGAAAGAGTAAAAATTTGGACCAAGTTTACTCAAATTAACTCTATCTCTTTTTTTTTGACAGTATGAACTCTATCTTTTTAAGAGCCTAAAAATGGATATATTAATTGGCTTATGTGTCCTTGTCGTCCCAAGCAAAAGTCCGGCTGCTAAATGAACCGGCACTCTCTGTTAAGCTAAAATCCACCACAGTAAAATCAAACCAACTGCACCCAAACTTAGAAAACCAATTTAAGACAGTTTAAGATTTTTCTAATAAACAACTGAGTTGAATTGACTAATTGAAACTGAAATTAGTCAATAGTCTCATTTATTTACTTTACATTTGGAGAAAACTTGAACATAAGCTTAACAAAAGGGAACAGACAAACGTGGCATGTATTGTACTCGCAATAACAAGTATATATAATAATTGAGATGTTGAAAAGAAAAGGGGAGTGAGTAGATAGCATATAGGTACGTAGTCCAAGCAGTGAGGCAAAGCAAAGCAAATCAGGCTGCTAAATTAATTACTTTAATTATATTTATAATTTATAATTATAATTATTTAGAGGCATGAGGAAGAATAACAACAATCATCATCACCATCATCATGGTCAGGGAGGCGGCCGTTCAAGCTCTTCCTGCGCCGCCTGCAAGTTGCTGAAGCGGAAGTGCGTCCCCAACTGCCAGTTCGCCCCCTACTTCCGCTCCGACGACCCGAAGAAATTCGCCAAGGTCCACAAGGTCTTCGGCGCTAGCAACGTCGCCAAAATTCTCAACGAGGTCCCGGAGGAGCAGCGCGAGGACACCGTCAATTCCCTCGTCTACGAGGCCGAGGTCCGCCTCACCGACCCCGTCTACGGCTGCATTGGCGCCATCGCCTCCCTCCAGCGCCGTATGGCCCAGCTCCAGTCCGACCTCCTCCTCGCCCGGGCCCGCCTCGCCTCCTACGCCTCCAAGCCCCCCGCCGCCGACGCGAATTGCTGCTCCTCTTCTTCCTTCTTCAATTGCCTCCCTCAGGCCGCCATCGCCGATTTCCCAGTTTCCTTCGCGGATGAATTCTCTCCGTCCGGTGGATTCTGCGAGCAGAGCTCTATCGCCGTTGATCACAGTCACACCGGTGGATCTCTGAATAATCCGCAATTCGGCCATTATCCATTCCATTGGCCTTGATTAGTCGTTTCGTAATTGTGTTGTTAATTATTAGATCGATCGGAGAAATAATTACGATGGGAGACCAAGGCCAGAATGGCGCTGGAACTTCTTCAGTGGTACGCTCTTAATTAGCCTTGTTATAATATAAATATGTGTAATTAATTAATTAATTATTATGTGGAATGGAGTAGATGAACGTAGGCTGTGGTGAAATTTGAAGCCACATTTAAGTTCACCTATGCAGCACGGAAACACCAGCGTTATGTTTCAGTTTCGGAAATTCTACGAATTCATAGAGCTTCAGGTATTAATTGAAGAAGAATGAATTGCTATTTTCAGTATTTTGCTATGCCTGTTTCATTGAGAGTAGTTTCTGGGTAAAAAAAACGTTTCAATTAGTGGTAGATGAATGGCTGAGATTGTCCTTATCATCATGTGTAAAGTACTATTTCCGGAATGATGATATCTCTCCTTCGCCGTGTGGGTGTAAATACACAGAGGAGGTGTCAGAATGAGAGGTCTTCTTCCTATTACACAATCAAACAGAGTAAGTACTATGTACTGCAAAAGTCAGATTCACCTTTCTTTGATTTACATGTCATTAAGATTTAAGAGAAACGTGTTTGGTTGTTGAAATGGTTAGTCTTCGGGGATTTCTTTGGTCCGAATGAGAGATTGACCGCCGGGATAAAATGTTCCACATCGAGTTAGGTGCTGTTCTGTTCGTCTTATTCTTATTACTTATTGCTTATTCTTATTTTATTCAGATCAGATCAGATCAGATCAGAAAAATTCAGATCAGATCAGATCAGATCAGAAAGATTCAGATCAGATCAGATCAGATCAGAAAGATTCAGATCAGATCAGAAAGATTCAGATCAGATCAGACCAGATCAGAAGCATTCAGATCAGATCAGAAACATTCAGATCAGATCAGATCAGATCAGATCAGAAAAGTTCAAACATGATTTTTCACTTTTAATATTATATTAAATATTAATTATTATTATTATTATTATTATTGTTATTACTATAATGATTATTATTATATAATTATTATTAATAATATTAATAATAATATGATAAAAAAAGATATTAATAATAGTTATAATTTTTTAATATAATAATAGTAATATAAATGCAATTGTTAAGAAGACTATTATTATTACAACATTATAATAATAATAATATAATTAATATTATTATAATATTATAATTAATGTTAATATAATTATAATTATTATTAATTATAATTATAATAATTATAATTATACTTATAATTATATTATAATTATAATTTATGATTATAATTATTATATTTATTATAATTAATATTATTATTATTATTATTATTATTTCCATTGTAATTATTTTACGGAGTAATTATAACAATATTGATAACTATAGTTACAATTATAGAGATAAATATTGTAATTATAATTACAATTATAATTATAATTTTATTTAAATTATATTTGTAATTGCAATTATAATAATAATAATTATAATTATAATTATAATTATAATCATAGAAATATTCGAATCAGATCAGATCAGAAAGATTCAGATCAGATCAGAAGGATTCAGATCAGATCAGAAACATTCAGATCAGATCAGACCAGATCAGAAACATTCAGATCAGATCAGAAAGATTCAGATCAGATCAGATCAGATCAGAAAGATTCAGATCAGATCAGATCAGATCAGAAAGATTCAGATCAGATCAGATCAGATCAGAAAAATTCAGATCAGATCAGATCAGAACTTAAAAAATTCAGATCAGAAACATTCAGATCAGGCGAAGAGAACAGCTTCTTAGTGTGATTATTAAACAACACTGAGTTAACGTTACTGATATTGAATTGATAAAATTAGAATACAGTAATGACGATTTAGAATAATACTAGGTACAAACGTTATGAAATTTAGTATTGAACTGTTTTAGTGGGATGTATAAAAAGGAAAGATAGAGAATTGTACGGGACCGAAGGAGTAATTTATACCAATTGTGTCAAAAAAATTATACTAAAAACCCATCCACTTCTCTTTCTCTCTCATTAAGATTGTTCTATTTTGTTTTTCATCTACTTTGTTCTACTTTGTTTCAATGAAAATGGCATGAGCCCTCTTGACCACTCTTAGAGAGACAAACGTAGTATTTAGTTGTTCAACATAACTTTTTCTTGTGGTGTATAAATCTTCTCGTACTTTCTTTATGGACTTTCTAAAATAGTGAGTTAAAACATGATAATTTGGTCTCCGATGTACATTTTCATTTTGGCAAGAAGTTATCAAGATAAGTGCATAAAAGATCTCATTACAAAAGAGGTAAGACTTTTCTTTTCACTTTGATAAGATGACATTACCTTGATTTCAATGTGTATCCTCTCGGTATATATTACTCCCTACTTCAAACAAAGTCACACTTTCCTTTTTTGGATGTGACAAAATAAAAGTTACACTTCGTATTACTTCCCATTTATGAAAGAAATTTATATCAATACAGTAAAAAACAGTGCAAAGCAATGCCAAACAGTGTTAAGTAGTGTCAAGCAGTGTCAAATAGTGTACTCTACAATAAAACTTACCCCTCAATAAATTCTTTTCCTAAATCTTTGTGAAATCAAAGTGTGACTTTGATTGCGAAACAGGGGCATTGCTAGCTTACTGTGTCATTATCTTTGTCTCACTTTTACTTGCTTCACAAAATTTAACTCATACACTTTTCGAAACATTCATATCTTCTCAATTTCTTTTTTTCGATCGTAACATTCATATCTTTCCATTTCTAAATCTTCTCATCATACTCTCATATAATTTTGAAAATAATACACTATTACTGTTTTTAATATATCTTTCATTTCAGGACATTATTTCATTATTTTCCCATCAAACCCTCAATAATTTATACGGAGTATTTTCTTTCACGATTTTTAATATCATCTACTTTCAAACGGGAATTTATAAATGTTACGGACGTAGTATTATACTATGGTAGTATTTGTGTGAATGTAGTTAGTTATTTCATGGAATGAATTCCAATACTAATCACAAACCACCCATGCGACGGAGGTATTAATACTTCTAACTGGTGCCGACTCCACTTAAAAATAGTGATTTCGATGTGCATAAAACTACAAAACACATGCAAATCTTTTCGAACTATCACCAATGCTGCATTAACAATTTGAATGGTAAGACACTAAGAACGAGTGGTTTAAAAGCACTCTACTTTTATTGACACTGACCATTATCTATGTGGGGTCAAAATCAAATTAAGGCTAAAGACGAATTATATTTAGGCCTCCTATCAACAAATAATGCGGGTGATACAATTCTAATATTTGAAATGAAGCAATATTTTGCGCTGTTACCATGTCGTATTTACATACAAGTACGATCCCGACATCACGTCTGTTTGCAAAATTGTTAGGATTGAGATCTCTGTAGTACGGCAGAGTGCCTTGCAGGGAGAGGTCGTCGAAGAGAAGAAATAAAGCTTCGTGATGTTGATTTCTAAATCTCTTATCATAAAAATTTTGATCGAACGGTCCCCAAAAATCGGGTACCGTGCCTTGCTCTAAGGTAAGGCAGAAGCTCCGGATCCTACTTGTTATGTTACATTTTTAGTTTTGAATGCCAAGTACATTCGGAATGAATCAAAGAACTTTTTGTATACTGATATCCTGAGTAAATTTTTAGGGAGAAATAAAATTAAATATCCTAAACGGTTAAGGAGTGACTGAGTGAGAGGTGAGTATCTCAAATGTACACATGTAATAAAACTACTTCAAAAGTGATATAAAAATTTATCTTAGCACCATTATAATAATTTTATTCTTTCACAAATGTAAACTTGTAGTGCAAAAAAATTAAAATGTAAAGTACCTTGGGCATTTATAAGGATGAAATTATTAATGTGTATTTGAACAAATATGTCCTTGAGGCTCTTGAAAGGTCTTAATTAATACTAAATTCATAAAAAAAATAATAAAAAACGTCAAAAAATTATTGAAAAATTCATAAAATTGTTCTGGGAGGCGGTGGGAAAGGTTTCCGTATTTTTTTATGATTTTTACTATTTTTAATAATAAAAAAAATAAAAAAATACTCCCCCCTTCCCATTTAAAGGTTCTCATCCACTATTCACATGATCAACTTAAATTATTCTTAACCTTTTTCTTTATATATCAAATTTTTATAAAAATTATATTTTTTTAATCAGGCTTTGTAGCGACTTTAATGTAGTTTCCGAATATGTAAATTTTATTTACTAGAAATTAGCAGAGTGTGAACAGGCATCGAGTTGTTTTATCGTCAGTCAAACATCGTAACGCGAACCGGGAACCTCTATATGGGACTGAGGGAGTATTTTTTAATTTTTTTATATTAAAAATATTTTTTTATTTTTTTATTATTTTTGTACGATTTTTAAAAAAATTACAATTTTTTACTATTTTTTAAGATCTTATTTTGAATTATACGCCCCCAGTCGCTAATAACTTTGTCAAGTTTGACCGGTACAGAGATTAATAAAGTAAAAACTGTGTGGTTGAGGGTTGTACAGAGGAGAGGGAATTAACTGGAACCACTAATTCTTTACTTAAATGGGAAAGTGACAAAGTTAATGAGACATCCAAAAAAGGAAAGTTGACAAAGTTATAACGGACGGAAGGAGTAACGTGTTAGTATGAAATAATACCCTTGAGGGCATTTTGGGTATGCTGAATTTATCTAGTCCTATTTTGGATGGTAAAAAATGTAGTAGTCTTTTTTGTGCTTTTTTTTAGTTATTTTTAATCTTACATAGACCAATTTCTATTTTCCTAATTATTGCCATGCTTTAATACTTAGTTTTAAAACTCGTTTTTTTTAATATCTCTGTTGATGCCCATTAATCCCTTTCCCCTCGAAAACCCAAAAAACTTCAATTAATAAAAGTATTCAATTTGAGAACGTGACAGTTAACTTTTATGATTAACTTTTACCAAAAAAAAGTTCCTTATGATTTAACTTTTTTGTTAAATGAGCGACAAGCTATACCGCCTATACGTAGTACGAAGTATTTGACAACAAAGTAAATTGAAAAAGTGTGCAGTGAGTGTGAGTAATATGTGTATTAACCCGCTACAAAGTTGTTTAGGGAGCTTCTACTTAATAAAAACACTTTTGAAAGTGATTAGTAGTAAAAGTTGATAGTGTTTGCAAATAAAGTGATTTTGAAAAATATAAGTTAGTAATGTTTGATAAATAATTAAGTGCTTTTTGTGAAATAGAAAAAAATAAAACACTTTTTGCACAAAAGTCGAGAAACACTTTTTAAGTAGAAGTTGTCACTTGAAAACACTAATTTTAGCTTTTTTAAACCAAAAGCCGAGAAGCGTTTTTTTTTAATATCAGTCACGTTGTCTCATTCCTATATATCGAGACTAGGGCTGGACACGGATCGGGTCGGGACGGATAATGCAAAATAAAATGGAACCGCCGGTTCCATTATACAGGTCGGTCCGATCTGAGTATTGTAATTTTAAAAATAGAAACCCGACCTTACCCGGCCTGTTTGAAACGGGTCAGTCTGGTCCGGGTTTTTCGGTTCCAGTTTGTATTTCTTAAAAGTAGTAACTTACAAAGTTGTTAAGGTCTTAGCCATTCTGAATCTTGTAAATGCTAAATGCTACTTGATAGAGTATTAATTTTAGAGAGAAGTGAGAGCTAGAGAGAGAAAGTGAGTAATTATATTTCTCAATTGGGAAAAGAATCCCCCATAATTAGCCCCTTGGGTCTATTTATAGGTAAAAATGTAGATTTGGGCCCCTAGCCTTGGGCTTAGGAGGCCCATTACAATAATCATGCCCTCTTTGGGCGAATAAGGCCACTAATGGGCTGAGTACAACACTTAGTACAAAAATAGGAAAATACATTCTGCCCGGACGAAGTCCGGACGATGCGGTCCATGGACGACGCGGTCCATGGACGACGCGGTCCATGGACGATGCGGTCCATGGACGATGCGGTCCATGGACGATGTCATCCAAATAACTCAGGCGACATCTTCTTTCTTGGACGGTACGTGCCTCTGGCCGATGCGGGTGCCCCGCTGGTGTCTTTTGGGCCATTGAGTATGTGGGCTATGGGGTCCAGGCCCATATACTCTATCAGGAGTCCCCCACTCTCTGAGCTGAGGTGAAGCCGAAGCGAAAGGGAGTACTTGTTCCTTTTTGGCTGGCCGTTGCGTGAGTCTAAGGCGTTTGATGGCCGAAGAGTTCCTGCTTTGATTTTGGATGAAGCGGTTCCCTTATTTGATGCGGGCCGATGCGGGCCGATGCACACTCTGTGGAAGTGTCTTTGAAGATGAGGCGATGCGCTTTCTTTTTTGTAGATGATGCGATGAAGCCTTGGTGGATAAGTTGGCATGCTTTTGTCGTCAGCTTGTTGGGGTTTGAAGAGCTCCCATCTATCCTTTTGGCCGTAGCGCAGACCTATTTTCATAAGATGAAGATGGTTGATTCTGCTTATGTAGACGATGCGATGCGCGCCTTTGTTTTGTTATGCGGCCGAAGCGTTTTGACTTGTGAGTTTTTGTTATGGTGAGACGATGCGGCCCTCTCAGTGTACGTAGCCGTTGCGTTAGATTTTTTTTTTTTATCTTGGGGTTCTAATTCCTGGGCTCTGTAGCCGATGCGATCCCCAGTTCTTTTGTTGTTGGCAAGCCGTAGCGCACCCTTTTGTATTAAGGCCGTTGCGCTCTCTCTTCTTGTGGCCGATACAGTCCCCCAGTCCCCCACTCCTTTGGCCGAAGAGCATCTGAGGCACAAGGGAGTAATGAGCCGATCCGGTACCTATGCGTTAGTCGTGACTCCAACCCTTAGGCGAACCCGTCCAAGGTAACCCTGTGGGAGAACCCTTGGACGAAGGCCGCGATACCAGGGTCATCGTCAACGATGCGCGCCTAGGCGGCCGTAACGGTCTATTAAGGTTCTTTGAGTCGTTGTGAGGACGTAGAGTTAGGCCGATGCGTTCCTTTTTCGGCCGTATGGGCCGACGCTTGCTTTGAAGCTCTGTGGTACTTGGGCCGTAGTGGTTTTTGGCCGATACCTTGCTCTTTGTAAGGTTGAGTTGGGCCGTAGGGGTGCCTGCGTGAGTGATTTTTGAATTGTTGCCCTCTGATTGGTTGGGAGAAGGGTGGCCGTTGTCGTGGCCAATGCGTGGGTGCCACGTGTAGTAACCGTTGGAGGATGTTTATAAATACCCCCTCATTCCGAAGCCCCTTCCTCATTTGCTTTTGCTAGAGTTGAAGTGCTGCTGAGATTTCTAGAGAGATAAAGTGCTTCCCAGAAATCTTCAAGTGTTCTTCGGATCTTCACCCACTCCAAGGTTAGGTTCTTGAATTGTTTTCCCTTTTTTCTTTATACTTTGCTTCCTAGGGGGTTAGATCTAGTGTTTCTAGGGAAAATCACTTTGATCCTCGAACAACCCTGAGGACGTAGCATAATTGTTATGCCGTTCCCTGACGGCCGTAGCGTCCCCTCCCCAATTGACTTAACAGCTTCGCTGAACGAATCCGATTGGCCTTTTGACGACGACACATCCCCCGGGGTTGATCTAAGAGTGGTGGAGGCTTTCGAGGTTGAGATGGAAAACACTGCGGATTACCGTACCTCTGCGGACGAGGAGCGTCTAAGCGCCGATGCGGGTTCTCAACGATCTGGTGAGGACGAAGCAAGCTCTGACCCCAAACTTCGTGGCGACGATGCGGGCGATGCATCCTCGGCCGCTATTCCTTGTCCTCCCCCGCTTACCTCTGTCCCTGGCATCGCTCCGTCTTCTTCCAAATCCAAGGTGGGGAAGTCGCGCCGTCGGAAGGGCTTATCTGGTAGCATCTCGCAACTGGATTTGACGAATCTTTATATTATAAGGCCGAAGGGTTCCCAAGGTGAATATCAGGTGGCTCAGCTCTACGTCGGACCTTATGGAAGGGTTAGGGCGCCGAAGCCGACGGACCATGTTCTGGATCCGCCTCCCGGTTACTTCGGGGTGTATCCGATGAGCTTCTCCCAGGGTTTGAGGTTCCCCCTTCATCCGTTTGTCGTGGAGTATCTCAACATGATAGATCTTCCGCCCGCTTTGCTTACTCCGAACAGCTATTCCCTCATCGTCGGGTTCCTCATCCGATGCGATGAGCTTGGGATTGAGCCGACGACGGCATTGTTCACGAACTTGTACCGGATCGGACGGGGCAGCCACGAGAACTGTGCTGGTTATGCTGCCCTCCAACAGCTGCCGAAGAAAAGATCTTTTACTGATCTCCCGTCGTCTATCCATGGGTGGAAGAGTAAATTTTGCTTCGTGAAATTAGCCGATAGGGTGTTCTTCCCATCTCAAGGGCACAACGGTATCTTTAATTTGCACAACCCACCAAGGAGCCTTGAGATTGATGCTCAGGTGGAAGCGTTCCTGAAGGGTGGGCCGCGGAGTGTCAACACTTACATTACTGAGTTCAAGATAGCAGCTCTGGGGATGATGCGGTACCACATTCCCGGTGACCCTGATTGCGGATTATGGCCGAAGATATCCGGCTACTTTGAGCAGGCCGACGGGCCCTACCTCGGTGTCCCAGCCGATGCCGAAGGTTGATCACTTTCTTTTGACTCGTGATATAGTTCGTTGTATTTGTTTTCTAACTCTTTTGCTTTGTCCTTTGCATCTGCAGATTTCACCATGAGCCGTAAGCTCTTCATGGCCCAGGCGAAAAAGATGGTTGCCAAAGAAATGGAAGCTGCCCAGCGGGCCGACGCGTCCAAGGGGTCCGGTGACGGGTCTAAGTCTCAGGCCGATGCGGTGAAGAAGGCCGTTGCGACCAAGAAGAAGAAGAGGTCCGCTGAAGGGCAACAGACCTTGACGGAGGCGGGGCTGGTGCCGGCTGAAGGTGCTAAGAAGGCGAAGCCGAGCCCTCCCCTTCGAGATGCTGTTATGGCCGACGCGCAGGCGTCGGTTCAAGGGGAGGCTGCCTCTGATGTGCAGGTCATCGAGGATCTGACTTTGAACGTCGCCTCGTCCTCCCTCGTTCCTGCTAACTCCGGTGCCGCTGCTAAAGAGAGGGCCCGCGCCGGCCGAGACCTGGCCTCTGGTCTTTATGAGGTTACGGTGCGGTATCCGCCGAAGGGCGGTTTATTCAATGATAAGGTCTCTGGGCACGACGTCCTTTTCCAGGCCATTCCTGATGCTGACAGGGAGTATCTGCGTCGGCAGGGTAAGGATGTGCGCCTTTTCGACGGTGGGCTTGACTACTTCGTCCAGGTAAATCCCGGCCTTTGTACTTAGTAATTTTTTGTGTTCCTTTCCTCTTCTAACAATTACTCGTCTTTGCAGGGGGCCTTCATGCTGATGGAGCAGCAGCGACGTCAGGAAGAGGAGCTTGCTCGCCTTCGGGAAGCTGAGAAGAAAGTCGCTTCTGCTGACGAGGCGCTCTCCCAGCTGGAGCGGCTTCGTACTGAGACTAACGCTTTGAAGGAAAAAGCTGATGCAGCTGAGAGAAAAGCCGCCGCTGCTGAGGACGAGGCGAAACGCCTCAAGGTTCAGTTAGACGAAGAAGCGGCTGCCCGTCGGCTAGCAGAGGAAAGAGCTGTGAAGCTTGAGGCCGATGCGATTGCAGCTGCCGATAAAGCCATTGAGCTTTTTATGGCCGAGGGGTGGAAGGACGAGACCCGAAGCGATTGGACTTTCAATGTTGTGGCGGAGCGCTTTGAAGCGTGGTCTCAGGAGGAGGCTGGCCGAGCCCGCCTGAAGGAGGAGTTTGAAGTCTGGTACGACCTCGGCCAGAGGCGTATGCAGATGTTGGTTTACCGCCGCCTCCGCCGGCGTGTAAAGAACCTGAAACCTAGGGGTATCGGCCTTCCCCGGATGATGAAAGACCCCGAGGAGGAGTTGAAGCTCCCGCTGTCTGAGAGGCAGCCCCCCATCCTGAGCTCGGATGAAGAGGACGAGCCCTGGACCGAGAGTGATGATTACCTCTTCCGGACCTCGACCAAGTCAAAAAATACTGAAGATGAGCAAGACGATGCGGACAGCGGAGCGGTTGAGGGTGGCCAAGGACAAGCTACTTAGTGTTTCTTGTACTTAGTTTTCTTTATTTGTAGTAGTAGTCTTTAATGGCTGAAGCGCCCTGATGATTGTAATGGCCGAAGCGCCCTCCTTGTATGTTTTGAATTATCAATTAAAGGTCTCTTTTTGCCCGTGTAGATGTTTGTTGCTCCGTCTTCATAATTTTTTTGAAGTATGAACTTTTGGTGTCGTATCGTCTCTGTACTCCTTGCTTTATAAGTTTTCATCTTTTTCAAATTCGGCTAAGTGCTTGCGAACATACTTCGGTTGATTGAGACAAAGTGTTCCTTCGATGTTTTAAGGGATATGCGTCCCTCGTCGGAGATGATGCGGTGGTTTGCTGGTGTGGCATCCTTAGATGAAGCGCGCGCTCCTGATGGTGGTTCAGGGCCGCATCCCCATCTTCACCGCATTGTTTTGTATACTTTCTAATTCTCGCTTCTTTTTTTTTTTTTTTTGCTGTCAATTCTACACATCCGTGTTTGGTCGAGACGATGCGCCCCATCGTCCATGTGTCAATGTAGGCTAGTTTCTTTAGAATTTTTCTAAGTGCCAACATCCAGCTTGATTTGCTTGTTTAGGATGGTTGAATTCTCTAACCACATGTCGCAGCATCTTGATTGCATCCATGCGTTTTACAAATGTATGGACGATGCGTCCCTAAGTATCATGGCTTCTTGAAACGTGGCGCTGCGTCGCTATGCGCATCGGCTACTGTTTTGAATGTAGTTTTGTATAACCGAAACCGAAGCGATTCTTTTATGAAGCTGTGGTTGAGGCCGAAGCGTGCACCTCGTATTCCTCTTAGGTGGAAACCTGATATGTACTTAGCCGATTTTGAGGCTTTGGTTTTTGTGGGGATTTTATTTTTTGCTCGAGGCCGGCGGGTGCGCGGTCCGTCGGCTTCCCTCTTTTTTTTTTTTTTTTTTTTTTAGGTGGCCGAAGGGTTACTCTCCCTTCGTCCATGTGCGGTAGTTTGTCCGCTACGCTTTTCGCGTGTGTTAGTGCGAGGGAGTAAATACGCCCTCGGCTTGGTGTGTCAGTGGCATCTTTTTTTGCCTTTCCACGTCTATCGGCGACGAGGGACCGGACTAGGCATCGTCTTTTGACGGCCGCCCTTTGTGGTCCTGATCGAAATTTTACTGACGGGTGGAGTTTTTGTAACCTCAGCCTTAATTCAGGCCTGTCGTCCTGCGGTTTCCGCGCGGACGACGCGGTATGCTTCTCCGTTTGAAGACGTCGGACCATACACACAGGTCCTTCGTCCTGCATATCGCCGACCGATTTGGGTGTTTCACCGCTTGTGCCGATACGATATTTTGATGCGTTGTCTATGCAACGGCTTTGCAGGCGCGTTGTGGATCGCAACGGCTTTAGGTGCGTTGTGTATTGCAACGGCTTTGGATGCGTCGTTTATTGCGACGGCTTTAGGTGCGTTGTTTATTGCAACGGCTTTAGATGCGTCGTTTATTGCGACGGCTTTTGTTTATTGCAACGGCTTTAAGTCGCATCGGTCCCGGGTGTTTGCACCGCTTAGGCCGATGCGGTCCTTGGGTTTCTTTTGCTCAAATCTTAAGAGATTGGATGAAACATGAATTTTATTCAATAAGTGGCGCTAGGCCGAGGGTGTTTTATTCAACCAATAAGCCGAGGGGTGGGGGACGTTGCCCGCTTCACCACTTCTCGAGTTATTGGTAAAATTTCACCAGGTGGTGTACATTCCACAATCGTGGTACATCTGACCCATTAGGGTTCTTTAGTCTATAAGTGCCGGCTTTGATGACGGCGCTGATGATGTAGGGCCCTTCATATTTGACGGCGAGCTTTCCTCCTTCCGTCGGCTTGCTTGCTTCCCTTCGGCGGAGGACGTAGTCCCCCACCTGGAATTCGCGAGAGCGGACCTTGGCGTCGTAGTAGGATTTGACTTGTCGTCTGTAGTTCTCCGCTCTGAGGTAAGCCATCTCCCGCCTTTCATCAATGAGGTGCAAGTCAATCTTCATGGCTTCTTCATTGGCTTCGGGGTCGTATTGTGTGACCCGTCGGCTGGGGAGGGTGACTTCAGTGGGAGCCTTGGCTTCGAAGCCGTAGCACAAGGAGAATGGCGTCTCCCCAGTGGCCCTCCTTGGAGTAGTTCGGTAAGACCATAGGACGTTGGGGAGCTCGTCGACCCAACTTCCGCCTTCTTCCTCGAGTTTCTTCTTTAACCCCTCCAAGATGGTTCTGTTGGCGTTCTCAACTTGCCCGTTGGCCTGAGGATAGGCAACGGAGGAGAAACGGTGCTTGATACCCCATTCTTGGAGGAGGCTTTGGAACGGCTCGGCCTCAAACTGGGTGCCGTTGTCTGATATGATTTCCTGAGGCACGCCGAAGCGGGTGAGGATGTTCTTGTAGGCGAACTTTCGACACCGCGCTCCGGTGATGCTTGCGAGTGGTTCGGCCTCGACCCATTTGGTGAAGTAATCGATGGCGACGATGATGTATCTGTTGTTGCCCGCAGCTCTTGGTAATGGGCCGACGAGGTCGATGCCCCATCTGGAAAATGGGATGGCAGTGCTGACCGGGGCGTAGTTGACGGCCGGCCGACCAGGTGCCCTTTGGTAGTGTTGGCATGCGCTGCATTTGCGGGCGACCTCAGCACAATCGCGTGCCATCGTCGGCCAGAAGTAGCCTTGGACGACGAGGCGGCGTGACATGCTGAAGGGCCCCTGATGTGATGAGCATACGCCGCAGTGGACTTCTTCCATGGCCACCTCGGCCTCATTCTGGTGGAGGCACCGGAGGAGGGTGCCGTTGTATGATCTTTTGTAGAGCTTGTCACCCTCAATGACATAGCTTGGCGCCCTAAGTTTGGCGAGTTTGGCCCTCTCCTCGTCTTCAGGTAGTGTGCCGGAGGCGATGTAGGTTGCGATGTCAGTGATCCAGTCCTCCGGCTGGTGTTGTATGGAGAGTATGGGGCTAGCGTGAATGCTTGACATGCTCAACTCCTCCACCTTAGCTATCTTGGAGATGTGCTCAGGGGTGTCGGAGCTGAGTTTGGAGAGGATGTCGGCCTCGGCGTTCTCCGCCCTTGGGATCTGAGTGATCTCGTAGGTATCGAACGCCTTGAGCAATTCCGCAGCGGCCTCCTTGTATTGCTTCATCCTCCCTTCTTTGGCCTCGTAGGAACCCTCCATTTGGCTCACTACGAGTTTGGAGTCGCATTTGATTCTGACGTGGCGTGCTTTAAGGCCAGCGGCTAGTCTTAGTCCGCTGAGGAGCGCTTCATACTCGGCCTCATTGTTGGATACTTTGAAGTTGAAGCGTATGGCGTAGTATGCTCTGAATCCTTCCGGGGAGATGAGGACGACGCCACCCCCACAGGCTTTGGTGGCCGAGGACCCGTCCGTGTAGAGGGTCCAGGCTTCGTCCGATTCAGCTCCTGTGGTGGTAACGGCCGTCTCCCTTACCGTGCACTCGGTGACGAAATCAGCTAAGGCTTGCCCTTTGATGGATGGCCTCGGCTTGATCTCAATCTGGTACTGGCTCAAGAATATTGCCCACTTGATCATCCTTGGAGAGCTGGTTGGGCTCCTCATGAGGGCTCCCAACGGCTGATGCGTGAGGACGTGGACGGGGTGAGCCTGGAAGTAGTGCCCAAGTTTTTTCACCGTGTGGACGATGGCCAGCACTGTCTTCTCAATGGGGGAGTACCTAAGCTCAGCCTCCCGCAACGTCTTGCTGACGTAGAATATAGCTTTTTGTACCCCGTCATCCTCCCTGATGAGTACGGAGCTGACGGCCGACGTGCTCACTCCTAAGTAAAGGAAGAGAGTCTCGCCGGGTTGGGGCTTGGATAGGACGGGTGGGGAGGCGAGATATTGCTTCAGCTCCTCAAAGGCTTGCTGGCACTCCGTCGTCCATTTGAAGCTGGTGGCCTTCCTCATTATTTGAAAAAAGGGGAGAGACTTCTCAGCGGATTTTGAGAGAAAACGGTTCAGGGCCGCGAGGCGTCCCGTTAGCCGTTGCACCTCCTTTATGTTGCGGGGCGGCTCCATGTTGATAATGGCTTGTATCTTTTCTGGGTTCACCTCGATGCCCCTTCGGCTGACCAGGTACCCCAAGAATTTACCTCCCTGGACGCCGAAGGTGCACTTCTTCGGGTTGAGCCGGAGGTTGTACCTCTTCATGATTTCGAAGATGCCCCGGAGGTCGTCGGCATGAGTTGTGGATTGTTTGCTCTTGACGATCATATCGTCGACGTATGCTTCCATCGTCCGACCTAAGACTGCTCTAAAAATCCGGGCTACCATCCTTGTGTAGGTGGCGCCGGAGTTCTTGAGCCCAAAGGCCATGACGAGGTAGCAAAAAATTCCCTCCGGGGTCATAAAAGCAGTCTTCTCCGCGTCATCTTCGTGCATGGATATCTGGTGGTACCCTCTAAACGCGTCGAGGAACGACATCAACTCGCACCCCGCCGTCTCATCCACCAACTGATCAATGTTGGGGAGAGGGAATGGGTCCATCGGGCACGCCTTGTTCAGGTCAGTGTAATCAACACACATTCTGAACGTGGGCGGTTTTGGTGCGAGGACGACGTTCGCCAACCACGTGGGGTACTTCACCTCTTTTATGTGCTTGATGGAGAGCAGCATGGCCACCTCGGCTTTGACAAATTCCCTCCTGTCGGCTGAGAGGTAGCGCTTCTTCTGCTTGATGGGGGAGGAGGCCGGGTTCACTGATAGCCGATGTGTGATTACCTTCGGGCTGATGCCCGGCATGTCCTCTGGTCCCCATGCGAAGACGATGGCGTACGCTCTCAGGACAGAGAGGATGTCCCTTCGGAACTGTTGGGGGAGCTGTGTCCCAATCTTCAGCGTGCGTTCCGGCCGGGAGACGTCCAACGGAACATCTTCCACGTCTCCGACCGGTTCGGCCTTTGGTGTGTCTTCTTCGGCCGAGGCGGTGGTGATAGTGTCTATCCGCTCCTCGGCCTCATTGATCTTCCT